GGTGGGGGTGGGCGGAAACTTGCCATTTCCATTGCCCAGGGTCTTCGGACTGCCGTCAACTTTCTGGGTGACGTCTAGTGAGCTGTCTTATATCTCTGAGCCTTAGTTTCCCCTTTGGGAAATAAGATGATCATCTCTCTGGCCTGTTCTGAGGAGTGGCTGAGATGATAAAAACCCAGCTTCGTGTCCATTCATCCAACACATTCTGGCTGACTGATGTGCCTCGCGCTCTTCACCGCAAATGAGCCTCACAAGCCCTGCCCTTACCACCTGGTGATTACCGGTGTGACATCTTGTCCCAGCCTCACAGTATCCCTGGAGGAGTCCCCTGCTGGCATCCCATCTCCCAGAAAAGAAACGGAGAGAACTCCAGAGCTCAGTCCCTCGCCTCCATCCCCCTTTGGACTTAATTTTAGAGCCTTCAAGAACTGAATTTTTTGAAATTTTATTGAAGCAGGCCATACATACAAAAATAGGACCATTATATAACGATATAGTTGGCACATTCTCACGGGCTGAATGTGCCTGTTTAACCAGCATCCAGATGAAGAAAATCAGGGCCATTCCAGCCCAGGCTCCCGCCGCCAGGGAAAACGGCCCGACTTCCGAGGCCCATGAGCTCCGCCTGCCCGTGAGCGCGCGAGTGCAGCTGTGTTGGTAACAGCCTTCTGCGTCTGCTTCCTTTGGTCCCCTTCGGTCTGCGAGGGTCTCTGGGCTGTGTCATTACGGATCCTGTGTTCTCGAGGCTGATGCACCATCGTTTTCATCACTCTCCTTTGGACTCTGGCTCTTGAAACGGTGCAGGGCTTGCCAGCTTCCCGGGTGTATGTTCCTGTGTCTCTGCCCAGGCCCGAGGGCAGGCGAGCGGGCGGCCGGGAGAGTGAGCTGACCCAGGCCTGGCCTCCCCCCGGGCGCGCGTGCTTCCCAGGCGCTCCCGCCTGGCCCTCCACCCGCAGCTCCTCCCTCTTAGATTCTATCAACGGTCTGTTATTCTGGGCTTGGCTTGAGACCAGGGGGTGAGCTGGCAGGCATCCTAGGCAAACAAGAGCAGCTGGAGAGGACAGGAACTCTAGGGGTGGGAAGGTGGCCCCAGTCAGACCTGCCCACACCATGATGGCCATCAGGGCTTGCGTGGGGGCCTCTGCCCCGATCATTCTGGAACAATTTGGGAGGGGAGGATTCAGGTAGAAATCGGGCCTCCTCTGGGCTAGGCTGTGCTCTGGGGAGGGCAGGCTGCCTGGGTTCAAGTCCCAGCTCTGCAATGAAATCTATAAAATGGGGGGACAACAGAGACTGTTGTTTGAGGAGTAAATAACTCAGTGCACGTGAAGGCTCCTGACCTCGAGTGAAGTTGGCTCTCAGGGTTGCAGTGTGCCAGGAGCAGCCAGTGTTTTCTGGGCACCATTCTAGTGGTCCTGCACATTGGTCATGAAAGGAAACTTCATATCATCCTCACTCAGCAGATGAGGAAGTGGAGGCACAGAGAGGTTGCGAATCCATGGCAGGGCCAGGCTTCGATCCTGCGTCTGTGAGGCTCTGCCCTCGGGGAGCTCCGGATTTAGGGCACACACAAACAGCTGTTCCCAGCTCAGGCTGCTGAGTGTGGTAAAGGGCTTCCTCCAATGTGCTGAGGGGAAGCAGAGGCTGAAGCAGATGGTTGCAGTCCGGGAAGGCTTCACCGAGGAGCAGGGTTTTGAAGGCTGAGTAAGAGTTCCTGAGGTGTTCTTAGCAGAGGAAGCAGCACTAAGTATCAGATACTCAACTCCATCGCCTTCCCCACCCCCAATGCCTAGCCATCTCTGTTTTCAGGGGCTGGAGCCTGAAAATAATATTTTCCAGAGCCCCTTGCCAACTAGGTTCTTATTAGGATCTGCCAGTGGGGAGAAGGCAGGAGGGTGAGAGCTGCCAGCCTGCCCATGGCTCCTGCCACAGCCGACTTCAGCAGGCTTGGTAGATCCCAGCAGCTCTGTGGGTTCCAGGGCTGCAGTGACCACACTTCCAGCAGCTAGGTGGTGCGGACAGGCTCCTGGGCTCCTGACTGTCTAGGTGGCAGCTCCTTCCTGATATCTGCTTAGCACGCCTCCCTCTGTTCTTCCTGCCTTTCAGATGCCTTTGCAATCAGTTTCCCTTATGAACTCACTCTCTACCTGAAATAGCCAGTGGTTTCTGTTTTCCAGTGGGTTACTAATTGATAAAATGTTCAGACAGTCCAGGCCAGAAGCAGGGTGTAGTGTTCAAGGAACAGAAGGATTCAGCACCCAGATAATGTAATGTGTTTATTTTGATTTATTTTTTAGGTGCATGTCATGTCTTTCAACATGAGTTCCCTGAGGACCAGAGACTGTCTTCTATCATCTATTCAATCAACAAACAGTCAGTGCTTCTTTGGTGGGGAATGAGGTGCATGACCAAGTTCCCACACTCCTGGAATCACAGTCTGCACATGGTGCCATCCCCTATGATAGCCAACAGCCACCTGTGGCCACCGAGACTTGAAATGCAATGAGTCCGAACTTGAGACAGGCTGTCAGTGTGAAATGCACACCACATTTCAAAGACCTAGTGTGAAAATAAGAATGTGAAGTATCTCACTAATACTTTTTATATTGATTACATGTTGAATGACAATATTTTGGACATATTAGATTAAATAAAATGTATTTCACCTGTTTCTTTTTACTCTTTTTAATGTAGAAAGATTTTAATTACATATGTGGCTTGCATTGGGGGCTCCTGTTACATTTCTTTTGGACTGGTTTTATGAGAACTGACTGAGTTCAAACACATTGAGTTACCAGTTCAGAATTTATTAGTGCCTATTTCAGAGACACTTGGTCCCTGCCCTTGAGGACTTCAGATAGGATGGCGAGGGGACAGACATACCAACATGGAACTAAAGTTCACCGATAAATGTTTGAGTTGGTCCATGTTTCAGGGCTCTGGGGGCCTGAGAGGAAATCTGCGAAGATTTCACAGAAGAGATGACTTTGTTGTTAAGCATTATAGGATGAGTAGGAATTCACGAGACGGGCAAAGAAAAAGAAGGCATCTGGGTTCAGGGAGTGACACATGCAAAAGCTGAGAAGTTGGCAAGTGCACATGGTGTTTGGAGAGATACAGGAAGTTCATTGTGGCCCAAACATGTTTTGTTTGAGAAAGAGACTAGCGAGGGAGCCAGACTGTGCAGAGCCTTGAATGCCAGTCAAGTTAAGACCTGGCTGGTCCCAATGTGAATGAGCTCACCCACTCGCCCTCTTCAAAAGCATGAAAAGGACCAGACCAGACCTTGTTTGAATGTGCAAAATAAATGCTTTTATTTCAGTGCTTGCTCTCTGTGGCTCAAAAGCCTATCTACTGCCTGATTGGAACCCAAAAGCATTTATAAAACCGTAGAGAAACAGAACAATATTTATATAGAACATAGACTTGTCGGCTCATGTTGTGATTCTTCCCTGTGCAAAGCAGCAAGTTCTAAGTGCATCAGCGTGACTTTCCCCAAGGCCCTCTCTGGGCTTTTGGGGGCCCTGGAGGCTGTGACCCCACTGCAAGTGGAGAATGCTCTCTTTTTCCCTTGTCCAGCCTTAGGGAGGCCTGGTCACGTGGGGAGTGTGGGAGATTAAGCCAGAGATGACAGCTCATAAGCTCTCTGAGCTGTGTTCCAGGGCCCCAGTCCTGCAAAGAGGGGGTGGCCGAGGTGCTGACCTAAGTCAGTTAGTGAGCAGCACAGGCAGTTAAGGCTCTTGTGGAGTCTAGGCATTGTGGTGGGTAGGCTCATGGGTAGGACAGGGGCCTCCGGGGCTCTTTTCCGTTGGAACTGGGGTCTGATGGAAGGTGCCTGGGCACAGGTATGGGGCCTGGTTAGGGCTGGGGGCAGAACAGTGACCCTGGTCATGGTTTCACTCTTAGAGACACCCTGGGCATGTTGTCTGAGGCTCTGTGGAGCCAAGGAGTAGGACCTGCTGTCATTTGCAAGGCTGGGTCATACAAAGCACCATAAGCGCAGAGCTGAGAGGGCCTCGCAGACAAGGACACCAAGGCCCAGAGAGGAGAAGGCAGTGGTTGGCAGGACTTGGGGCTCTGACCTCTTTCAATCCTTTCCCACTTGCTCACCCCACCTAGGTCCTTTTTGATCAGGTCCCAAATGGCCTCTCTGACATTCTCAGGTCAAGGTTGGTGCCATGACCTGGACACTGGACTCGGAGTCAGAAAGCCTGTGCTCTGCTCCCTTACCTTCATGTTACCCAAACTTTCCAATATCCACAAGCCCACCCGTACAGAGTGGGCCAGCTCCCTTCTCTGAGACTCAGTTTCCTCACTTTGAAAGCAGCTCCCACTCTGTAGTTTCCCGTGTTGATCAAATGGGTTGGTGGCCGTGACAGTGCTAGCAAGTGCAGGAAGCACCTGGCACGTAGGTGCTTCACAATAGTGAGGAGGGTGAGGGACACTGGGCCAGAGCTTCTGGAGTGTAGGCGGAGCTCGAGCCTGGCCTATCCCTGGGACCCTCCCCACCCCTACATGTGCTGGCTATCCCAAGGGTCCCTGGGGCCTGGCATGGTCTGGGGAAGGGGTACAGGGCACTGCTAGGCTGGCGAGTTCCCTGACCCAGCCAATGGTCACACTGTATCTGTTTTGCTTCAAGGGCCTATGGAGTAGATCCAACATTATGTGGGTGATAGTCTCTCTCTAAATGGCACCTGTGCTGGAGCAGTAGGCACGGGTCCCTTTCCCCATCCCAAACCCAGTCAACCAAGGTCGGGGTTCCCACTGAGGAGGCACAGACACTGCTCACAGGTAAGGGGGTGGGAACCAGGCACAGGGGGCAAGATGGGGCTGGGGCCCAAGGAGGGACTAATTTTCCTTATTAGTTTGAGATAAAGATTGGGGTTCAAGTTGGGGGCTCTCAGCTGCCTGAGGTGGAGCTGAGCACGGGAGCTCCTTAGGGGGGGCCAATGATGACGTTCCGGTAGCCCTTCACGGCCTTTAGCTTATTGCTCTCAAAGTTGACCACCAGCTTGTGGCGGCCCACGTGGACAGGCAGCAGGTCCACTCTGACCTTGACTTCCTTCCCCGGCTCCACGGGGTCCGGGCTGTGGAGGGAGGAGAAGAGGTTGAGGAGGTGCCCAGGCCTGTTCCCCACGGTGGAGTCAGGCCAGGATGACCCGCGGCTACGGGCAACTTAGCCCAGAGCCTCCATATCCACGGATGCACAGCTCAATGCTGACAATAATGACAGCAATAGACGGACCCACTCGCTGCTCTCTGAGGGCCCTGTTGTGTATACAGGGGCGTGTGTGTGTGTGTGTGTGTGTGTGCACACGTGGAAGTGGACCGTGTGCTTGGGGTCAGAGTGGGTGTACTCAGGTAACCACAGGTGTGAAAACACTGAGCTGTACGTGTGTGATTTGTGTTCTTTACTGTATGGAAGTTACACTACACTAATAACGTGAAAAATAAGAAGTGTATATGCTGGTATGGGCACAGATGTGCATCTAGGACACACGTGTGGACAGTGCACACAGGTGCAGAGCCTGTGTTTACGTGAGGGCCTGTGTGTTGGGGGCAGGTGCTTAGTGACGGGATGTGTCGTCGTTCAGGTTTGTGAAGACACTAGTGTGGTGTGGATGTTGAGGGGATGAGAGGGTGGGAACTCTGCCCAGAGGGTATTTAGGAGGGGACACAAGGGTGTATTAGGCAGGTGTGTGGGTGGCTGTGAGGAGGGGTTATGGCTGGAGTTTGGTGCCCATCAGCATCTGCCCTCTGCTCCCAGGTTCCCACTGGAGTGACCAACACTTACATGTCCACCGTCTTCTGTTTGTCAGTCAGGCCAGCCCCCTCCACAGTGATGGTGCAGCCTTCCAGGGGCACGGTGAGTGGGTTCTGCAGGGACACCTCAGCCACCAGCTTGCGGTTCTGCTTGGGCTCTCCCAGGATCTGGGATAGGACATAGGGCAGATGTAACGGGCAGCACTGAGAGAGGGGGCCCAGAACCCCTCAAGGGCAGGCAGGGTCCCTGCTGGGCCATCTCTCTTATTTGTTGCAATTTAGCCCAATGTTTGCTGAACAAAGCCATTCCCACTCTGCCACTCTCACTCCCTGCCTCTGTACCTCAGTTTCCTCATCTGGAAAACACAGGTGATGATGCTGGCCCAGGCCTCCTTCATGGAGCTCCAGGGAAGCTCCATGCAACCCAGAGGGGGTAGAGTGCTTCCCTTGTTCTAGGGTCTAGAGTGGGAGGATCACAGGCTTTGGAGCCAGCTGATCTCTGCCCCTTCCCCACTGTGTGACCCCCTGAAAGTCATGACCCTCTCTGAGCTTAGTTTCTTCATGGACGAGAAATGCCTGGCCGTAGGGTTCTCATCAGGATTACTGAGCTAACAATGTGCAAGCTCCCAGCAGAGTGTCTGGCACACAGTGCTTACTCCCTCAGCCTCTGCTCTTTATCATTTATTCATAACTGCTGCATTTGGGGTTTGGGGACTGTGGCTTCTTGAAGTGAATCACTATGATGACAATGATGATGGTGACAATAGTCAGCTTTTATTGAGCCCTTACAATGTGCTGTATATGGTTCTATGTGCTTCTTGTGGTTGCACGTTTAATCCTTACAATGCCCATTTTACAGATGAATAAACTGAGGCACAGAAGAGCAAAGTAACATGCCCAGGGCCACCCAACCACAAAGACAGGCAGTCAGACTTCAGAGTCTATGCCCTTGACTCCTCCACCTTCCCTGCCTCATCAGGGCCCAGGTTCTGGAGATCTAGCTCTAGGAGTTCTTCAGCTTCATGATGCTTTTCTTTGATGAAGCCAGAATTTGAGGATCCCTGAGGTGTCAAAAAGCTTGAGGGTGCAGGGATGCAGGTGCACTCGGCCTGCCCACTCCCAGCTCTGGGCTTGCCCTGGGACCCTGCCCTGCCCCACCGGCGCCCTGCCAGCTCCTTACCCGGATCTTGATTTCTGGATTCTCCAGATAGATGTCCCTTTCAGCCAGCATGTAGATGTCGGCCGCTGGCTCGATGAGGAGGCCCCGTACCTTGATAAGGTTCGACTCTGTCAGGTAGTCACAGTACTTCTCATAGAGGATTGGAAGGGCAATGCTCTTCTCTGTGGGGGGTTGGAGATAGAGCACATTTAATGACTGAGACATAGCCCCCACCTCTCCTCTTGCATTTCCACAGGCACAGAGAGAGGAAGGACTGTGCTCGAGCTCACACAGCTGGTGAATGGCTGGGCAGATCCCAGGCCTCTCTTCCACCTGCCCTGGCACCAGGTGCCCATGGGGAAGCAGCCCAGGGGAAGTGAAACAGCTGGTGGGGAAGCGCTGGAGCTCCAACAGGCCTGGATTCTAATCCTGCCTCTGCTCTTTGCTCACGGTAATGCTGGGCAATTCACTCCACCTCATAGGACCTCACTTCCCCCCATGAGGTTGGTAAGATTGTACCCATTTTACAGATGAAAAAACACTTCTGCCAGTGAGTGCTCAGATCAGGAGACCTGGCCCTGCTTGGCAACTGACTGGCTGTGTGAGCCTGGGAAGATGACCTCCTCTCTCCATTTTGCCTGTCCCCTCTTATTCCCCCAGACAATTGGCACCCTTAACTCTAGCAGAGCTAACACCAGAGGTCCTTTCAGAGCAAAACCGCACAGTGATGGGGGAGTAAGCAAAAAGGCAGCAGGATCAACCTCTCCCACTGCAGAGAAACAAAGTGTGATTTTTAGCTCATTTTTCTGACACGAACACTGAGGCCTGGAGGTACCAAGGATCTGCCAGTAGGAGGCAGGAAAGAGCAGTGAAAAGAGCACAGAACTGAGAATCCACAGGCTGAGCCTGGTCCTGCTTGTCCCCTTAGTCACAGAGAACCTTGGACAGACCCCTGTGTTCCTTGGGCCTTCCCATCAAACAGGATCATTGGAGGGACGGTCCTTGGGCTCCCTAGAGTCCAGCCAACCTCTCCTCATCATCCCATTCTTATGACAGGAGGTGCTATTGCCTCTTCTTGCGCCATCTCTCCCCTCCCACCCCCACCCCCACTAGACCAACGTTTCCCAAGCTCGAGCCATTCACATGATTTTTCACACATCTGAGTATATCCTAATTATTTCTCATTATTTTTCTTTCAGGCCACTCACTTTATATTTTCTAGCCTTTTCTAACCAGAGAAAATTTTCACCATTAATTGCGGCAAACCAGTCTGTTACCATAAATAGAAGGTAAACTGGTAAAAATAAATACTCACTAAGTCATGCTTATTCAGTTCCTCGAGATGGTCTTGTCAGCTGAGGGCTCTCAGCTTGAGACCTGAGCTTACTGTTCAAAGGGCAGATTAGCAAAGGTTGGGATGCTAACACCAATGATGGGGACCACCGAGACATTCCCCGAGAGGTCCTCTGAAGGACGGTGAAGACCTGAGTCACTTTCTCACCGAGAGTCAAGGCCTGGACCTTGGCAGACACACGGATGATCCACATCCGCCCTCTGGAAAGTGCTGCTTTAGTGTGCCCAGCCCTAGCCGTTCATTCCCAGGGCGGGCCTGCCCAGCCTCTGATAGATGACGTTAGGAGAAGAAAACCTACTCTTCGGCCAAAAGGGACAAAAAGGAGTGAAAATTCCTGGTGGGGCAGAGTGGAAAGTCTGACCAGCTCCGCAGGAAAGAAAGGAAACATTGTCCTCCAGGAGCCTGGAGGGCATGGCCCCAGCTGTTGACTTTTCCAGGAGGCTGGACCAGGGTGGGGCTGGGCCTCTGAGAGGGGCCTCTGCGGTGCGGACCCTGGCCTTGGGCCAGATGCTGGCTGAAGGGAGGGAACTTGGGTGGTAGTTTCAGCCATTCCTTAGAGGATCTGCCCTGTTCTGGAAGGTGCCGTGGGCAGGTGTGATTACCAAAGCCACACTGGCCGCATTCCCAGCCACCCACCTGGAGGGGTGAGGGAAGAGAGACAGAGAAAGGGGGGAGGGCAGGAAGAGGGAGGTAGGAGGAAGGGGTGGGGGGCGCCTGGATTCTGTTCTGCTGTCCTGGGCCTGGCTTCCTGTCCATTAGCACATGGAAATCCCCCAGGTCTTATCATCGAAAAATAACATGCAACCCAGCCAAAGTCTGGGGTCTTCCAGAGAGAAAGAATCTATCTCAGGTTGGGCTCCGCATTGGAAACCCCCTTAGGGCACTGGGCTAGCTCCGCCTTGTAGCCTGAGGGTAACAACAGGACCCCTGCCCGCCTCTCCCCTCTCCCGCAGGTTGTGCCCTCTGTTGTGAACACATCCCCAGGATGGGGAGAAACACCTCGGGCTTGGCTGAAGCCTCCTTGGAACAATGCTCCGTGGGCCAATGGTATCTCGGGAGGCAAACCGCTCAGCAGAGGCCAGGAGGAAATCATTATCCCTGGCTCAGGCTGAAGTTCAAGTCTTGTCACATATTCCAGAAAGGACACTTCCTCCCTTTGAGGTGGTTCTGACCCAAGAAAGAAATGATATGTGTGCATTCTAGCAAATGGGCCGGAAGGGCTCTTCAGAGATGAATCAGAGTTTGTACAAAAGGGGAGCCTGAGGCCTGGGATGGAGAAGAGAAATGCCCAGGAGCCCACAGCCATCACCAGTATTATGGGAACTAGGACTTGGGTGTCCTGACCACCCCACACCCCAGACATTTAGGGCCTAGATGCTGAGGTCCAAGCTGGGTCCTTTCCCGGCCATCAGGGTAGCAGGGGCTCAGGCACAACTGAGCCCAGCACACAGTAGGTGATCAGGAAAGGCCTAGGGGACTTCTCAACCTCCCTACGCCTGTTCGTACTTCTCAGCGAGGAGTGAAGGTCCCACCATGTCCAGGCACCACTTAACACTTTCCAGACATCTCCTGAGCACACATCTTCTCCTTCAGCCCTTGCAGGGGCCAATTAGGTGGGTGTGCTTTTGCCCATTTAATGGATGAGTGGAGTTGAGGCTCAGGGAGCATGGCAGACCTGCCCAAGGTCCTGCATTAGGAGGTGGTAACAGCCAGGTTCAAAGCCAGTCTGACTGGCCTCAAAATACATCTTTCAAAAGTGTAAGTGTTGAGGCCCCAGCCTTGGTGCCAAGTGACGCTCTCCCTGAGGGCTTGGCCCCTGCTCAGGGACCTTAACAGTGTCTGCTTTGGGAGTGTGGCTCCAGGGGTGCCCATATGGTTCCCAAGGCAAAACCAGGAGGTGACACTGTTGATCCCATAGACCCCCCAGATGGAAACACAAACAGGTCTCCTTAGGAACCCAATGGCTGTGTGCTAAATGCCAGCCCAAGGACCAAGGGCAGAGACAGAGGCAATGAAGGAGAGGAAACATTCAGGCTGCCAGGCAAGAGTAGAGGGAAGGGCCAACAGCTTCATAAATACAGAGCACTCCTGCCCTGGGCCTCACCACCAGCTCTGTGTATGAGCATACTAGTTCCCAGGTATTAAGTGCCTACTGTGTGCCCAGCCTCTTTCCTGCCAGTCCCACACTGTCGGGTAGTGGCTCCCATGTGTCTGATGGGGACACTGAGGTTCTGGGAGGCAGGCCTCTGGCCAGGTGATACAGAGAGCAGGACCCTCAGAGCATGGTCAGTGTCTCACGGCACTGCTCCTGGGTCCTCTCACAGCTCCACGACCCCTCTGCCCTCCTCATGCCTCTGGCTCCCCACGCAGAAGGCACATTGGGCTGCTGGGCAGCGGGGGACAGGCTCTGGGCCTCCTTACTAAGTGACCTCAGCAGCGGCCACGACCCCTCTCAGGGTCTCAGGCTTGTTTTAAGGAAGATAACCAGGCATGGCTACAAATCTAGGCAACAAAATGGGACCAAGGAGATGACCATGCAGGCAGAGGCTCTGCCCGGGGCTGAGGGCTGGGTCACCTACTGACATTATTTTACCCCAAACAGGGAATACCCGGAGCTAGGGAACAAAGGGAGGGGGGTCTACCTCACAGGGAGGCCAGGGCAGGTGCAAGGGCCATTTTCAAAGAGATGATCAGGGCGAGGAGGAAAACCCTCTCTCCAGAGAGGACTGGATGGCCTCTCCTGTCGCTATTACAGCTACACTGTCCGATATGGCAGCTCTGGCCATGGTGGCTGTTTAAATTAAGTGAGATGAAAACTTTAGTGCCGCAGTGGCATCAGTCACTGCTCAAGTGCTCAACAGCCACATGAAACCAGCTGCGGCCGCTCTGTGCAACACAACAGCTCATCAGTGCAGGGAGTTCTGTGGCAGTAGTGGTCTAGAACCTCCTCTCTCAGAGGCTGGGACCCTCCGGAGGGGAGAGGCTCCCATGGCGAGTGTGAGAGTGGCTGCAGACAGGAGAGGAATTAGCTGGGAGAGAATCTGGGAAAGTAGTCAGGTGTCCCAAGAACATGAGGTGGAACAAAGCAGTATAGTTGCTGAGAGTCCGGGTTCAAGTCTCAGTCCTGTCACATACTAACTGTGTGGCTTTGGGAAAGTTACTTAACCTCTTTGTGCTCAGTCTTTTCACCTGGAAAATGGGGAGGTAAACACTAAGGGCTCAGGGCCCTACCTAGCACATCTGTGGTCATTAACTGATCCAGAAACAAAGGCCTTACCGGAAGAGGGCTCCAGGGAAAGATCGAGCAGTTCCTTGGTGCCACACATGGGCCCTAGCATCCCGTTGTGGCTGACAATGCGGGCGCAGAGCAGGAGGCGGCAGGCATGGTCCTCGGTGGTGTTGTTGGTGATATGGGCAAAGACATCAAAGTCGCTGCCCATTTTCATGCTCTGGGCCACACGGATCCGCATGGCCAGCCCCGTCTCCTCTTTGTCAACCTGCCTGTTCAGGTGGTTGGCCCTCCTGAAGGCTTCCCTCTCCTCTGGGGACCCTGTGGAGATAGGCAAGAGAGCTCCTTCATGGCTGGCACTTATTCCAATGAGAAGGAGGCTGGAGCAGAGGAAGCTGGCCTCTCAGAGTCCTGGTGACTCAGAGCAGCCCTGAAAGAGCTCTTCCTCTACATTTCTGTGTCAGGAGGAAGAAAGAATATTTTCTTCATTTTTCCAAATGAACTCCTATGCATCCCTCAAGACCCAACCTAAAATGACCCCTTCTCCAGGAAGCCTCTTGATCACTCCTTCCCCAGGATGAATCAGTCACAATGTTTTTTAGAGTTCCAGAGCTGCCTATTTATAGCCAATTATGGATTTTTAGGTCACAAAATTGTTTTCTGTTTATGTGGTTACCCTCTTGAGTCGCTGAGGACTAAGACTGTGTTTACTTATCTTTGTGTCATATAAATAGTACTTGGTGCATAGTAAGTACCAATACAATTTGAGCNCCCAGAGTTCCTTTCCCTCCCCCCCACCCCTAGAGCTCCCCAGCAGGAAGGGCTGCCTCTCCTTCATGTTCATTACCTCTCTTCTATGCTCCTTTCATCTTTCCCCCCAAATGTTGTTGGGTGCACTTCTAGTTGTTCTACCAGACCATCAGCTCTGGACCTCACAGAGGCCAGGGGAAGCATCTTTTCCTTCTGTTTTGTCCTTTGCGCCTAGTGCATGGCCACTTAATACCCAACCCCAGTCAGTCCCGGAAAGTCAGTGGGGGTCAGATGTGGAAGGAGCTATGGTTTCTTAGTCATCTCTGAGCCCCGCTGTGCTCGGCACACAGGAGATGCTTAGAAAACATCTATCGCATTGGATTGGCTGTCAGATGTACTCAAATCCAATTTTAAAAATAAACCATATCCCTTTCCCCCCCACTGAGTTAACATTAGTAGCAGAAAGAAGCCTCATTTTTGTGTCTGATTGAACCCATCTTATCTTTAAATTTCTCTTGGCCCATTTCTCTTTCATTTAACCCCTCCCCATCTACCTTCATGCCCAATTCCCCAGCTGTATGAGAAATGCTGCAAAAATAAACAGGACCAAGTTCCAGAAACCCTTCTTCGACAGCCCCTCCAGATTTTCAAGCCTCTCTGCTACAAATGCGTTGCAATGAGAAGGTGTGGACTTGCCCAGCTATGGTTGTAGGTCCCGCGACTGATAAGCGCTGTTAATGCACAGCATTGGCATCATTCATTTTGGTTACGATGCTTGCCTCTCCTACAGAGCAGCCATTACCTTCAGTTTTATTGAGTCAGCCCCCTCCCCAAAAAAGTGAGGCTTAAAGACCAACTGGAATCCTTTTGTGGAATATAGAATTCTTTTCCTAAACAAGTAATCTGCCACTGTCTTCCAGTGCATTTGGTAAGTTTGCACCTGTTCCTAAGGGATTTTTTGGAATGGAGAGTAACCTACAGTCATTGTTGTATGCAGGCTGCCAAATCACACACACACACACACACTGGGCTGGTAAAACGGGTGGCTTATCTGCAAGGCCGTGTTGAAGGCTCTTGGCACCTACCCTCGGGGTACTTATAGGTGTGGGTGATGTCCTCCCGCTCGTCACGGCCCACACTCTTAGTGCTGATCTTCAGTCCCACGACCAGAGAATTGTTGATGGACTTGTGCATGGATCCATCCCCCTGCCGGATCCAGTCCACCACGTCCGCGTTGACCTCGGCAAAGACGAAAGGGGCGTCGTACTTGGTGCTCAGGTCGCCCTCCTTGATGGCACGAACTGGAACCGGGCCACAGCAGTATGTCCCTGGTTGGGGGAAGGAGGAATGAGAGGTGCACCTGGGATGAGGGTAGGGTGGCACCCTCCAAAATCTTCCACAATTCAACCACAGGGGGCAAAAGGTCTAGAGACCATAAAGCCCTTTGACTCAGGGACTCCACTGCCAGGAAAGCGGCCTAGCGTAAGAATTAAGGATGGAGACTCTGGAGCCAAATTTTAGGGTTCAAGTCACAGCTCTTATTAGCGGTGTGATGTTGCAGTACTTAGCTTCTCTGAGCCTCGGCTTCATGTGGGGATGATATTTATACCTACCTAATGAGGATTTGCATATACTAGATGCTATGTAAGTGATAAATAAAACAGAAGGCTATCCCAAAGCACCCTAAGGAACTGAGGGAGCCAAGCAGCAGCCTATTTGAGAGGGCAGGGCAATTCGTCTGGCTTAACACCCGTGCCAATGTTTATCTCAGTGTGGTTTTACAGCTGCTTCAACCCGGTCACAAATCCAAACACTGAGGACTAGAGGCTGGGTAACTATATTGCAGTGCACCATTTGATGGAACACTGAAATTCAAATTCAAATCACAGAACACTACCTGAGAGAGAAATGCTGATGGCATATGGAGAAGTGAAAAAGCCACATAAAAGGCCACACACAGCCAGAGTTCTTAACTTGGGGTCCATGGACCCCCCAGGTGCAACAAATAGAATTCAGGGGTCCATGAACTTGGATGGGGGAAAATGAGATCTTTATTCTCACTGTACTGTGATAGCATATTCTTCGAAAGCAGACAAACCATACTCCTAGGTCAACTTATGACTCATGGCCCATAAAAACCACAGATATTTTCATATCGCTTCATAGCTGTCACAGATATCTGGAGCTATTGTTTATGCTCATCTCTGCCACCAAGTTATCAAATTTATTAATTCCACTACTAGATCTTGTTATATAAAGTCTATGTGATTATATTACAAATTTATTTTTTTTAATTTTTGATAACTATATTTCAGTGTAATTGGCTTACTTTGTAAACCCTCGGCATTACATTTTATGAATTTAAAAATCTTGTTTTGATAAAGAGCTCATTTGGCTTCACCAGTTTTGCCTGGGTTCTCCCTCCCTCACTGACACACACACACAAACAAGCATGTAATCGGAGATGACTGGAAGCTGTGCATGAATTTAATGCTGCTGCTTTTCAAGGGAGAGGACAAGGTGCTATTTGATAGTTTCTTTATGACTTTTCAAATAATAAAGAAGCATATTATAAAATACCAGTGAGGTCCCCCTGCCACTCAGCGGACTAGCCCATGACCTTGGGAGTCAACTGAACCTAGGTTAGAAAGCCAGCCCTGTGCTCTCCAGCTAAGGGGCTCCAGATGAGTGTTTTCTGAGCCTCAGTTTCCTCATCTGGGTAATGGGGACACTCCTACCCACCTTCACTTTTCTCCTGGGGCGTGGGGTCGAGGGCCTGCCACCCTTCGTACCCTGGCTTCAGGTCTGGCCTGGTCATCCACGACTCCACCCAGCAGTGGAAGTTCCTGTGGGAAACAAAGCGGAATGTTGGTCAGGACTCAAACTCATACCTTCAGTCACCTCCCGCCACGGTGCACACTCGCCTTGTCCTAAGCTTAGCCCAGCATGGCGCCCTGACGCTACCCTTTGCTCTTCCCTCTGTGGGCCCTAGCCAGGTGCTCACTCCTGCACTGAGAGTCATTCTCAACTCCTCTCCCCATCCACCCCTCACCCCTTTCAGTGGCTCCTCAAGTTCAGCTGAGGTGACTTCCTAATTTCTCAGCTCCTTCCCTTCTTTTCCAGCCTCTGGAAGCAGGTTCTACCTTGGTTCAGGCCTTATCACCAGCTTCCTGGGCCACACCCCAAGCCCCACGTCCAATCTCTCCCTCCAGACCTGCTCCAAGGTCACCAACATGTCCCTCTCCCAGTGTGAAGCCTTTGGTGAGGTGACAACCCTTGTCTTTGGAGGCCCAGATCCCCTATCCTGGCATTCCACACTGCCAACAACTTTTTCTCCCTGGTGTCATCCATGCATTGTGCTCTGACTTTCCTCCTCTTGGCCTTTGTTTGTGCTATTTCCCCTGCCTGGAGAGCCCTCCCCAAACCCTGTTTCCCCTTGTGCAAACACTGTTCAACTTTTAAACCCAATTCAAATGTGACCTCCTCTGAGAAGTCTTCCCAGCTTTCCTCCTCAGGAGGCCACTGGGTCCTACCCCCAATCCTGGGCCCCATCTCACCAGATCATCTCACTCTTGTCACCCTCGTACTCCCCAAACTCGTTGCGGAAGTACTCGATGAGCAGGTTGCTGTTCTGGTCGTGGGCCGAGTTATAGTTGGTCACAACTCTGGTGGGGATGCCCAGGCACCGCAGCACTGGGAGGGGAGACACAATGGAGCGAGGGGTTAGAGATTGGGCTGAGGATCTGAAGACATCTGTCCTGCTGTGGGCATCCACATGCCCATCTGTACCCCAGTGAACACTGCACCCACTCTCCAGGTGGTGAGGGTGTGTGTGCCATTTCCTTACCCAGACAATGGCGTACACCTTGCTGGTCACCACATGTCCACTCTGCCCCCCCGGCCCCCCATATCACAGCTAACAGAAGAAGACTCTAAAATGACATCAACACACCTCTGCTAAACCTTCAATGGCTTCCCATGGCCCTCGAGGTCAAGGCCAGACCTCCAGCTGCGTCCCTTGGCTTTCCGGGGTCTGGCCCCTGACTGCCTCCTGCATACTTTACTGCAGCCACATTGGCCTCCTTGCTGCTCCCATGCTCCCACCAGCCACAGGGCATTGGCATATGCTGTTCCCTTCTCCAGGAAAGCCACCCACCAGGTTTAAATTGCCCCATCGTTGGCATTCATAACAAGACTAGGGCTTCATTATCGTTCTCGATGTTGGGGCATGTGAGGACAGGGAGGGATCTGTCTTATTTTATGTCCCCAGAGCCCAGCATAGGCCTGGCAAAGACTGTCTTGTCACATGGGATGAAGGTGTGGATGAAGCAGAGAGAGGAGGAAGAAGGGTGGAAAGGAAGGAGTACAGGAATGAGAGAGATTCAGAGCAGGGAGCAAGCAGTGAAACAGGCAGAAGAGGGAGCAGAGGTCAGGAGACCTCCATTCAAGCCCTAGCTGCTTCCAGCTGTGTGACATGGGACCAGTCCCTTCACTTCTCTGGGCCTTGTTTCCTCTTCTATAAAATAGGGTCAGGGTGCAGGTGCGGTGTTGGCAGGCGTGTGGGACACCGTCGTGGGTGAGGGGGGTCCTGCATTTATGCCAGAGCACACGGAGAGGAGAAGCCCAGGCATGAGTCTTGCCCAAGTGGCTATGCTGGGCGCTCCTGGAAGATGGAATTATGGGGGCTTTTACTCCCTCATTAAAAAAAAAATTTTGTGTGCTTTTAACGTATATTATAAATATATCATGCTCTCAGGGTATGATAAAGAAAGTAAATATCTAAAAAAAGAAGTGAAGAAAAAGAACCCTACTAAATGTAACCTATAGGACTTCTGTTTCACTTTTAGTTTTGACTGAGGTTGAGTCACTCAGTCAGGGGGAGGGACAGGGATGTGACCTTTGTCTGCCATCAACCAGGGCAAGAGCCTCAGATGGCCCTGGCTTCTGGCCAGATGTGTGGGAGCTGGGAGAAGGGAAAGGAGCAGCTTTGAATCTCCACCTCTTGCCTGGTTCCTGGCCTTGAGGCCTGGACAAAGGCCCGACTCGCTGCTGCCCTCAGCGAAGGCTGGTGTCCCAGACCTAAGCCTTGCCTGCCATGCCACCAGACTCCTGTCCCCACTGCCCAAGGAGCAAGGCATCACTCCTTTCCCCAGGGATGGTGTCCTGGGAAGCCTCACCATCACACTCTAAGGCCGGGAGGCTGCCCCAGAATCAGGCACACCTGGTTCCAGGCCCAGCTATGCCACCCACCAGCTGTGTGGCCTTGGACAAGCCACTTCTCCTTTCTGAGCCTCCATTTCCTCTTCTTAGGGGAGCTAATAATAGCAGCTTGTCAGGATGTTGTGATGATTCAGAGAGGTGCTGGGTGTGGGCAGACCCGTCTGCCAGTGCCCAGGGTGGACCAGCAAAGTGTGTCACAGTGCCCATCGCTGCAAACGTCTGTCTAGTCAGCGCTGGCCAACTCGCAGACATTGAGAAAATGCCCCAGGATCCCGCCGAGGAAACACAGCTTCCCCTGGAAACCCCCACGGAAACCTGGCCTGAGCAGGAGACTGTGCTAAGGGCCATCTCCCCAGGTTCCACAAGCTTCCTGCGAATTAAGTCAGTCACCACTGTCTCCATTTTACAGGTGAGGAAACAGAGGCTGGGTAACTGACATCACTTCTCTTGCCCAAGTCCACCCAGAGGTTGGAGGTGGAGCTGGGGCCAAGCCAGGCAGTCTATCTCTGGCCCCATGGACCAACCCACCATCTGGCCTCCTGAAGAAAGGCAGGAACCAAGGGAATCAAACAGCCCCTCATTTGCCCACGTTTTCTTGGTTCCATTACACACCATGCCTGGGAGGGGGCTGCAATGACCCTGACTCAGCCTTGGCCGTGGGGAGAGGGCAAGATCCCATGGGGTTCTCTGAGCAGGTGAGCGTTAGGCCCCTCAGAGGAAAGGATCTAGGATGGGGAAGTTTCCACGAAAAAGAGGAATTCAGAGGTCACCGGGGACAGACAGTCATGGAGCAGAGACGGGGACCAGGGCCAGGCTGTCCCTACACGGCCTGACAGAGTAGAAGACAGTTCTGGGGCTCTTAGGGACCCTTTTCTGGACCTGAGCACTGGTCTCGGAGTCAGAAAATCTGGGAACCTGAAATCAGCCTCTTAGGTTTCCTGAGCCCGATTAATAATAATAATAATAATAGGCAGCAGCACTATGTAGGTATTTGCCCTTATGCATCTGAAATCATTTTTAACATTTCACTTATGCTAACTCATCTAATCTTTACAACCACCCCAGGATAAAGGCTCCATTACTATCCCCATTTGATCTATAATAGAGCCAAGGCTCAAAGGAGTTAAGTGATTTACACAGATGGTAAGAAACTGAGCTAGGGTTTGAAATCAGCCCTTGACTCCAGATGCCGCGTTCGCAACCAGGATGTGATGCTAACCCATTCTCATGAGCACCATCGTCAGCTCTGGAACAATCTTCTGAGCTCAAATTTTCAAGATTTTTTTAAACTATTTTTCCCCCTTTTTTGGTTTTAAATTGACTTTCTCTTTTCCTCCTCTGCATTTCTCTTTCTTGACATTGGTGATATTATTATTATCAACTTACTCATAGGTCTACCGAGGAAGACCTGCACTGGGCCAAGTTCTGTGCTGAATAGCTTTATGTCACACCCACCCTGGGAGGTAGATCCTGTTGTTGTCCCCCTTTTACAGGTGAGGAAACTGAGGTTCAGAAAGAAACCATCTGCTTGAGGTCACACAGCAAGTGAGTGAAAAGGTAGGGCTTTTTAATTCAGGTGGGCCTGGTTCCAAAGTCCATATTCTCAACCTTGAGCCCATGCTGCCTTCCAAATAACATCCCTTGCTGTGGGCAAAAGGAACAGAGAGGGGCAGCCACTGGCTCCAAGCCACACAGTACGTTGGTGGCATTGGTGGCAGAGGTAGGATGAGACCTGGGATCTCTTGATTCCTACTCCGGGGTTCTCTGTGTCCCTCTTCAAGGGTTCATGGAGCTAAGGGAAGGTTCCAGGCCCTCCCACATCCCAGCTTGCTGCTCACCTGTGCAAGCCACAGCAGCAAAGACCCAGCACTGGCCATACTTGACCTTCTGGAAGCTGTAGTTCTTCCAGCGCCGCAGGATGTCCACACTGCCGATCCAGAACATGGGGCTGATGCCGTCCACGTAGTTGTTGTCCCAGCGTCCCAGCAACACACCCTGGTCGTCATTGCAGTTGACCTGCAACCAGCAGGGTATCAGGGGACCAAGTCTGGGGACAGGGTGGTGGCTGTGCCAGGTTGAGCACAAGTCCAGCACGTAGTAAAAGGCAGGGAAGGGAGTTTCAGGATGAGGGAAGAGCAGGTGCAAAAGTACCAAGGTGTGTCAGACTGTGGGGTACATCAGAGATGGTTGGGGCTGGCGCCCAGGGTGCAAGAAAGAGAAGGGGAAGGGAGGAGGTAGAGAGGGGTCAAGGCCTTGAAGGCCATGCTGGAGATGTGAACTTGTCTACAACAGGGTGGCAGGGGAATGACCCGGTGTGATCTGAGTTGTACAAAGACCACATCCGGCCCCTGCCCAGATTGTGTCATTCCCCCAACTCCCATTCCCTCGAGAATAAAATCCAGGCTTCTGACCATGGCCTGCAGAGCCTGTGTGGTCTGGCCCCTGGCCACCTCTGCAGCCCGGCTTGCACCCGGCTCCCCCGCTCACGCTGCTCCACCACACTGGCTTCCCTCTGCTCTTCAAACCTGCCCAAGTCGGCACCTCCTCGGGGCCTTTGCACAAGCTGTACCCTCTGCCGGGAAGGCTCTTCTCCTCCCAGTTCGTATACCAGCTCAGGGATCATCACTGAGGGAGAACCCCCACCCTCGCTGAGGTTAGGCCCTGCGGTCAGACACGCTCACACATCTAGGCGCCTTCAGCGCCTGCATCATTATTTATGACTGTGCACTCACTCACACGACATTTTGGTTAATGTCTGTCTCCGCCCAGCCTCCCACTGGAACATAAACTCTACGAAGTTACAGACCACACATGTCTTATACTGGCTGTTTCCTCGGTGCCTGGGACATAGTGACACTTGATAAATATTTGCTGAGGGAATGGATTGCTTTGAGGAATCACATGGCATTACCCTCATTTGTGTTAAATCTTGTCTTTCTCAATGCAAGCTCTCTCAGCTGAGACTTATCCATCCCCTGGGCAGCCCCACTGTGCCGTCATGGGCCCCTGGGGTGCGCCGTGCGTTTCACTCACCATGGCACTCACCACCCGGCCCACATAGACGGGGCTGCTGCGGCGGGAGCAGTCACGGCCACTGTTCTTCAGGAACTTGGGGTTGACGTCCAGGAGCATCAGGCAGATGTCCAGGATCTCGTCTTCAAACTATGTCAGAAGAAACAAGAGGAGGATGAGGGGGGTGAGGAGTCACCTCCTCCAGGAAGCCTGCCTTGAAGCCCAACAGCTGTGGGACCTCTCTGCTTCGTCTCACACAGACTGTGATGGCAGCTTTTCCTGGCTCAGGAGGGAGTTGGGGTGAGACAAAGACTGAGAGTGTGAGAAAGGGAAAGGGGGTGTGCCTGGGGGGCCTGGCTGGGGGGTGCTGGAATTTGGAGTAGAGATCACAGAGTGGGGAGCCCAGCGTCTCTGGGGATTCGCTACCTTCAGAGTCACCTCAGGCTATGCCAGTGTCCCTTTGCCCTCTCTGCTCAGCCAAATCTCCCACTTCCCGTAAAACCTGACTCACCCTGCAGAACGGATGAGTGCCCCCCCCCTACATAAACTGCTCTGACTGGAACTGAGGTGGACTAGAAAGATCTAAACCTAATCTCATCACCCCTCTGTTTCCACCCCAGCTGAGGCATGTGCCCTTGGCCGGAAACGAGCCCAGGATACTTCAGTCTGCGGGCCAACGCTCTAACCGTTGAGCCAAACCAGCTAGGGCCGGGGTACGTACCCCCTCTTTGATCTCATCTCTCACCCACACTCACCCACACTCACTCTGCCCTCAGGGCCTTTGGACTTGCTATTTCCTTTGCTTGGAAGGCTCTTCCTGCTGCTCTCAGTATGGCTAACTCCCTCCTTGTCATCTCATTTGGACCACCCATCTCTCATGTTCAAAGACTTCTGTCTGTCCTGTGCTCCCCATCTCTGTGTTCTTGTCCCAAACCAGCTCTCATCACAGGCCTCCCTCCATGGCTTGAGTCCTTCTGTGGCTCCCTATTGCCATCAGCCTGACATTAAGGCTACTTTACAACCTGAACACTGCTGACTTCTCCCACTTCATCTCCAGGGGCTCCTTCATAAACATGATGCTCCCCAGGCTACAATATAGTTCTTAGGCATAAATTTTCCCATCTCTGAGCTTTTGCTCATGCAGTTCCCTTTGCCTAGCGGACCATGCACCCACCTTCTTCAAAGCACAGCTCAAATGGTGCCTATTTCAGGAACTGCCCTGACCCCTCTGGACAGTATTCCCTTCCTTCACACCAGGAGGTTGAGGGGCCAGGGGTGAGATGGTTCTTGCTTCATGAATTTCCTCAGCAATGTCTCAAGAATTTTTATGGGAGGCTGGATGGTAGAGGAAAACAGCATTGGTTTGGAGAACCAGTGCAGGCTGGCCTGGAAGAATGAGGAACCACATGGAACAGCGAGAAGCCATCCAGCTGAGGTCAGACAAGTTCAGTCTAGACAGCCATGCCCTGGCTGACCCAGAGATTTATAGAAATAGTAAATTATTGTTGTTTTAAGGTTTGGGCTCGCTCGTTATTCAGCAGTAGCTAGCTGATACATCCCGACCAGTGGTTCCCAAGTATGGACATTAGATCAGAAGCATCAGCATCACCTGGGAACTTGTTAAACATGCAGATTCTCAGCCCACACCCAGATCTACTGAATCAGAAACTAGAGATGGGATCCGATGTATATTCAAGTTTGAGGGCCATTGATCCAGATAATAGTTTAAAACCCCCCCTCAGCACATGCTTAGCACGTAGTAAGTACCCCCCAAGTCCTGCCTATTATTTTGATATATGGCCTTGAATATTCCCCTTCTCCCTCCTGGAGTGACTGCTTGCCCACAACTCCTAAAGGCTCTCCTACTTCTTTCCCACCTTGACTATCTGACGCTGCTGCCCATAGCAGGTAGGGCGACGCTTTGCTGTGTGACCTCAGGCCTGGCCCAGGCTCTCTCTGAGCCTCTAACCATTTCAGGGACCTTGAATCCCGACAGCATGGGGTGGACGAGTCTGAGACCCGATCACACCTTTGCAGCTTGACTGCCTCAGACCCAGGGCCCAGCATACAGTGGGTCTGAGACGGCTGGGAAGGGCAGGGTGTGGCCCTACCTGCCCAAAGTTCCAAGGGATACTCTTGATGAACTTGGCCGAACCCTGGTAGATGAAGCCCTGCTGGGTGAGAACGTACTCCTGCCGCTGCTCCTCTGAGTCCAGGTACACAGCATCCGCTGCGGGCGGGAAGGAAGGGGCCTCAGCTTTGGGTCTGGTGAGGCCCAGGGTTCCCACAGACATGGCAACGTGGGCGCCAAGTCCCCTGGGCCAGGTCGGCGTCTCAGTAGCCTTTCTAGCATTTAATCTGAAAAACTAACCATTAATGTATCACCCGAGGTCAATGATATAAGGTGTTATCAGTTAACAACAGCAATGGCAGCTGCCTTTCATCCCTTTGTCAAGTGCCCGGATTTGTGATAAGCGTGTGGCATACAATAGCTTGCTTATCCTCGGCAAAAGCCCTATGTGGAAGGGACCCATGAAAGCCCCATTTTACAGATGGAAAAACCGGGGCTCAAGAACATTTTACCAACAGGAGGCAGAGGAGCCCTGCACAGGAGTCAGGAGCCCCTTAGCTCTGATCCTTACTTGCCGTGTGACTTAAACCGGTCACTTCTTCTCTGCCCACCTCTCTGTGTTCCTTGCGAGTAAAACGTGCTGGCAGATCTGAAAGATGCTTGTAAGCTAAAGCCAGCGAGAGGAAGGAGCACCACTCAGGGTGGAGAGAAAGCCAAGAAAGGGTGACTGAGGCTGCAGGGAGGTGGGGTCCTGTCCAGTCGGGGGCCAGGCACAGCACCTGGAGCAGGTGGTGTCTGATGCTGTGACGACATTCTAAGCAAAGGAACAGAGACAGCAAAGTTAGGGCTGTTGAAAGATGCAGGGCATTTAGTTCCCTGTGACTAGTGAGGACAGAAAAGGGGCTGAGGTAGTTGGGGCCAGAAGGCAGCAGGTCAAATGTCAGGCCGGCCTTTACCCTCCCCGTGTCAAAGGTGAAGAAACTGAGGCTGGGAAGGGGGAAATCCAGAGCCATGTTATGCCTTTGGTGGGCCCTGGGCATTTTTACTTCCATAAAAAAATATGTTAAAAATTTTTTATGACTGCATTGGTACAATGATGGCTATATTAATATTATATATTAAAGCATATTCTCTAGCTTAAACGTTTATTGTTTTCTTCTGATTTTAAAAGCAATTAACATATTTTCGTGGGCCCCTGAAAGTATGGTGGCCCTAGGCCCTGTGCCTACTGAACAGTCTGAAAAAGCACAGTCCACGCTCCTGGCAAAGCTGGGCCTGGAATGCAGTAGCCCTGACCCCCAGACCCCACGGCCCCTGGGCTCCATCGGCCCATCTGCAGTGGCCAGCACCCCCACTCCTATTGCATGGAGAAAGCAGATGTGAAAATGGCTGAGTGTCTTACGTATCCTGCTCTTTGGCTCCGGAAATTGTGCAATAAAAATTAGCCTTACGATAAGTGTACTATGTGGTTATAAATCAGCAGGCAGTGTGGGAAAAAGAGTGAAAGAGAAAAAGCTACCCACGGTGTTTTCCCATCAGAGTGAGAGTGTCAGCACGCTAGGGCGGCCCCAGCTCAGGTTTTCAGCTCAGGTAAGGGTGGGGGCGTTGGGGACAGAACCCTCACATATAACTGCACCCTAATCCTGTCCATGTTGCAGCTCAGGGACAGGAGGGTCCCTTTCATGGGCAGATCCTGCCCTCTGCCCCCAGAGGGAGAACAGTACCTTCATCCAGCGCCCCTCCCCCACGGAGCCCAAATTTCCACCTCCCAGTCACCAGCCCCACTGCTTCCTCAAGGCTCCCGCCCTGGGATGTGGGTCACTTTAGTCACTGTGCTGCTTGGCTGACCGCCATACCAACCCCTCCGGGCAGGGAGGGGACAGTTCAAGAGGAAGCAAGACATCCCCCAGAGCCTCGCTCCCTGGTCTCTGGACTCTGAAATCCCAGTGTTGGGTGGGAAGAGGAGGACACTGGCTTGTTCCCGCTCCCCCAGCTGGGCTGCCAACTAGGTGCAACCTCTGCAGTGTCAGACGCCAACCAGCAGACGGGTGCTCGCTCAGCAGCACATATACTAAACCGAGCATGCCGCGGGCTCCAGGAGGGCCAGTTCTGTCCTGAGCAACCATCCCATGTGGCCACGCAAGCAAGGGTGCTGGTTGTGACATGCTCCCTGTGATGAGCCACTGAGGTGAATGAACGAGCCGCGTGGACAAGATACAGCACTTGGGTGCTTAAAAAAATGAGCCCATGTGTGCAGATGCATGTGGAAAGGTCTTCAGGACATATTGTAGAGAGGAAAACAACCCAGTAGGTTGATGTATATGTGGGATTCTTTTACGTGTGAGAGAGACAGAGGAACTCAATGCAGAGAGACCGAGAGCTCCAGGCACATGCGTCCCAGCCCGAGGAGATGAGGCCTCCAGGGTGGCTAACGACGGTGCTTGAAGCTTTTATAAAGAGGTTGTTCTCCTGTCTTACTGTTATCATGAGAAATAAAAGCCAAAGTATGCAAAAGAGAAGATAAAAAATCTCTCTGCTCAGATATGTTATAAAATGCCCCCAAAATGGAAAAGAAAATAATAAAGAAGCGGTCCTGTAAGAAGCTGGTTATCGGACCCTGGAGAGGCCAGAATTTCTGCCTCCGGCCGAGGCTTTTAGGGGAGACACCCCATTCTTAGGCTGAGGCCCACCCACAAGGTCTTTCTCTCTCTCTGCCTTGCTGTTTAGGAGCAGGAAGGAAACACAGCTAACTGCCTTGTCAGTCAGATGGGGAAACTGAGACCCAAGGAGTGTTATGGCAGCCCCTGGCTCCTCCCATCTGCTCAAGTCAGCCTTAGTTCTTCCGAGCTCTCCCCTTTGACTCTCTAGCTTTGTTCAGCGTGGTCCACTGACTTACTGAAGGAGCTGCCAAAAGCCACTTCGCTTCTCTGGGCCTCAGTTTCCTGTCTGTGACATGAGGATGCTGACCTCTCCCGTCGGGGAGGTTGAGAGGAATGATTGAGAGGGTGTACTTGGAGACACCTAGGTAACAAAACTGCTCCGACCCACCCCTCCTGGCTACCCCACCCCTGCACCTCCCTCAGTTTTCCTTCCCCAAGACAGTCTGGTGAGATTTAAAACAGAATCCCATGAAACAGTACCAGGCGCGAGCCATGGCCCTGGGCACCCACTGGGCACCCCACTCTTGAATGGAGCTTCTGAACCCAGGCCACCTCCATGCCCAGCTCACGGGGCTGTGGGAACACCGACCAGGATGTAGGATAAGACTGCTTTGTAGCTGGGCGGCTCTGAGTCGCTGGGCCTCTGCGAGCCTGTCTCCTCTGCACGTGGGAATAAGGGGAGTCCTCACATCACAGGGTTTGGGGAGGCTGAGCACGGAGCTGCACAGGGTGGGCTTCACTCACCCCACAGTGATGTCTCTTCTGCCCCGTTCCCCTGCCCACGCAGCCCCCGTGTGCGGGTCTCGCCCTGCCCGCCTCCCACCTGCCCGTGGATGGAGCGCGCCTCACCTGGGCACCAGGCGTTGAAGAGCAGGGTGAAGTGGCCCAGCATGAAGCTGGAGCCCTGGTAGCCCGTGGAGGCCTCCAGGCTGAGCTGGTATAGGCCGATGGGGGCGTGAGGCGGGGCGCTGAGCTGCAGCGAGAGCTCGCTGCCCTGCTGGTCTACCACGGAGGCCGTCCAGGCCCCCTCCTCCACGGCGTCCGACAGCGGGAAGCGGGCCTTGGTCCCCGCCTCCTCGCTGGGGGCTGGGCCTGTGGAAGGAGAAAGCAGGAGTCATGTGGGGGATCTCGAGGCTCAGGGAGGTAGAGAGGCTGCCTCAAATAGCAGCTTTTTCAGGTGGAGAGGAGGGCCCTGCCCATGCAGGCAGGTCTGAGTCATGGGGAGGGCGAGGGCAGGCCAGTTACCCTTTCTGGACTTGGGTGGCAGAAAGGAGAAACAGAACCTTCTCTGCTCGACTGGGCAGCTGCCCAGGAAGGTTTATTTTTAATCTTCCACCTCCCTCCCTGTAGCTCTGCCCACTGCTGCTGACAATACAGGGGCCTGCTCACTGAGGGGCTCCCTCCCAGCACCCAGGCCCCTGCCCCCACCCATACCCAGGCCCAAATATAATCATGAACTAACAGGCATGACAGAGGCCTCTGGGACCCTGTCTGGGTGCCAGGAGCCAGCTGTGAGCCTTTAAACGCTCCCTGCCTTCTAGAGTCGGCATTTGAGGGAGGAGTCCGGCAGTACTGGGGCCCTAGAGCTGATCTTGTTCTGGTTCCCCCACTCAGACCCTGAGCACTGTATGACCTGAGCTAAGTCACCAGGCTTCTCTGATCTGCAGTTTTCTCATCAAAGAAGAACATAGGTTTTGGCCACATGCTTGGGAGGGTCTGATTCCAGATCTGAAACTGGTTCTGTGACTTTCGACAGTTATTTAGCTTCTCTGTGCCTCAGTTTCCTCAGCTGTAAAACACAGCCAATTGCAGTACCTTGTCACAAGGTCAGTATGAAGCTAAAGAAGGTGAGGCATGTAAAGCACCTCACAAAGTGCCTGGCACATAGTAAGTGCTCAATAAACAAAAGTTATTGTGTATTGTCACCACCACCACCTCCTAACACTGTTAAGAGGATTCAGTGAGAAAGTTCATAGAAGGCATTTAAAACAGAGACTAGGAAGCAGTAATTACGTAGTAAGTGTGAGCTATCCTCAGTGTCATCAAAAGGGACCATTAAAAATCAGGACTGGAGGACTGGAGTGAAATGAAAACTGAAACCAAGGGGGTAAATTTGGGGTGAGCCTATGTCCCAGTTTGCCGGGGCAATATCAGTCTATGCCTGTAGTCCTAGTATAATTATTAATGACATCCCTTCCATTCTCAGAAATGTTCCTGTTTGGAAGATCAGTGATCTGGTCACCATGGTTATAACCTGAACCAGGTCCCATAGCCACTGTCACTATTGACAAACCAGCCCCAGGGAAAGGTTAGGAAACATACTTCCTTTTCTCTCTGTCCCAGGACAGCCAAGCACCTGTGCACACACACACACATACACACCCCTTTCTTCCAAGGGGCCCTGGAGAGTGGGATGAAGATGGGCTGTCCCCCCCGGCCTCACCATTGCTCGCGTAAGCTGGCTTTGAAAGTTCCTGGGCGGCGGTTCCACAGGGTACTCTGTGAGGCCAGAGACACTGGAGGGACCTCTCTGGGCCCAAATGACTCTGGGGACCTGAGGGGTCCTGGTCACTATCCAAGACCACGGTGGCAGGAGGCCAGGTGTGGTGGGTGGAGGAACTTTCCAGAGCAGAGCCTTCTATCAGCCTCATAAGGGTTCTTTTCACTCCTTCAGGTAGGCCTCACTCCCACCTCACTCACCCCCAAGCCCTGGCCCTCCCTTGGAAGGAAGCGTAGCTTTCATTCTGTAACAAAGATTGTGTTTGTCTACTGTGTTCTGCCCCCTATAATAGAGCCTGGGTGGAATACACAGCCCTGGGGTATGTGTGGGGTCAGGCCGCACACTTCACTCGCTGAGTGACTTTGGCCAGCGATCTCCCCCTCTGGGTTTCAGTTCCCTGAAGAGGTAGGACAGGAGGGTCACAAGCCCAGCCTTGAAGTGAGAGGCCTGGCTTCCTTCCATTGTCCTTCAGGTCTCCCTAGGCCCGGGGAGGAGCTCAGCTGCTCAGATAGGGAAGCTGTGTGCTTGCAGAGATACTGTGACCTCCACCCATGCCTGCCTGCAGAGGCCGTGGAAGTGACCGGGGCAGGCTGGCTACGGTTTGGGATAACTTGGCAAGACTGGAGAACAGAGATTAGTTGCTGGGGTGGGAAGGCCAGGTACCTCCACAACCCTGAACTTGGAACCCTAACTACCTGACACCAGGCTGCCTAGACAATAGAGGAGAAAGAAAGGGGACACCTTGAAAATGAAAGAAGGCAGAAGAAAGGGGGAACCATAGGCTGCCAAAGCTGGTAGTTCCTCTGCCATCCCATTTCACAGAGGAATAAATTGAGGCCTGGCAGGCACTTGAAGGTGCCTGCTGTGGGGTCACAGTGACAAAAAACTTCGACTCTATGGTTGGGTTTGAATTCTGCTTTTCTCCTACTCACTGTGTGACCCAAGCAAGTAACTTGACCTTTCTGAGCCTCACTGTTCCCATCTGTAAAACGGGGGCCCCTTATGCTCCCAAGGTGGGGGATTTCGAATGAGCATGCAAACAGCAGGTGCTGCCTAGGTGTGAATGTCATCATCCTAAGCTTGACTTTTCTCAGAGCACCACGGTCATGTACTCCAACTTGCCACTTTACAGAAGGGAAACTGAGGCTAGAAAGATCAGAGACTAGCTGGAGGCCCCTTTGTTAGACAGGGAGCTGGGTGTGGGTGGGTGGGTGGACTTTGGGTAGCGGCTGTGTCCCTGAAGAAGGGGAGGGAAGGGAGGAAAGGGGTGCAGGGGATATCCGTGGCCTGTCTGCGGCGCTGTGATAAGCCTTATCAAACAGCTGCCAGGTAAATATGGGCCTCAGCCAGGTGGGTGCAGTTAGTTCCTGACCTCAGAGACCTCAGAAAGAGCAGGACTTTCCCACTCTTGGGCCAAAATCCCAGCCAGGTGGCCCCTCGCTGACCTCAATGGAGTGGTTCTCACTGGAAAGCAAAGCAACTGATTTGGCATTCAAGGCCACTTTCCCAGGATTGGGCACTGGGCATCCCAGGACTGGGCACTTCATAAACCTTGGGGCGGCTGGGGCCTTGATGTTCCTTTGTCCATTGTTGGAGCTCCTGGAGCAAGGTCAGCAACAGCCACTAATATCTACAGGGCACTCCCCCAAGTCAGGCCCTTTTCATTTAACAACCCTTCACCAAGACTGCTTTTCACATGATAAAACTCAGGCTCAGAGAGCCTAAGCAACTTGCCCCAGGTGACACAGCAGGTAGGCAGCCCAGTCTGCACCAGAACCCAGGTTTATCTGGAGCCCAAGGCAGCCTCCCAAGGGCTGGAGCCAGCTGGGTTCTTTCCACCACCCAGATCTCATTTGGGCCTGATCCCAGAGGCCTGGTCAGCTTGCGTGGATTTTGGGAAGCAGCTATTGATAAGAGTTTGAAAGTTGTTTGGATGTGGGAAAGAGCACACAAGATCTTGACCCCAACCCAGGTGATAACAGGTTTTTAGGAACCCAGGTGTCCAGAAGCACAGACTTGTTTACAGAGCTGAGTGGCCTGGGGTGACATCTCTCACCTTTCTGGACCTCAGTTCCCTCCTCTGTGAAATGGAGCTAGTGGCTGCCGGGAATTTTCCAGGGAACAGAGAGGAATGGAGTGAACTGTTCCATTGTCTGTCAGAGACAGTGAAATCACAGAGCAGGACAAATTCAGGGGTGTGTGTGGGGTGGGGGTTACTTACCAGTCGAGACATTGAAGGTGAGGTGGTCCACACTGGCCTCGTAGCTTCTGCCCTGAAAGTGCAGAGTTAGCCGAAAGGGCTGGCCCCGCCGCACCACCAGCCTCTCCCTGCACAGGTCTGCCGTGTGGTGGTCCCGGCCATTGGCCTCCAGCTCCAGGTCCCATTTCTCCAGAACCAGATCTACGGAGACAGTAAGGGGCATGAGCCTGGGGGGCATCCCTCGCCAGCTGCGACCCCTACCATGCACCTTCAGTTATCACAGTGCCTGGTGCATAGTAAATGATTAGTAAACTCGAGCTATTCTACCATTATGAGGATTCTTTTGGTTAAAGCAAGAGCAGTATTTGGGACAGGTTAATTACACAGGCTTTGCCTTTTGGTTTCAATTTTCAATTTACAGGAAATACAGAGGGCTGAGGAACATTTTAAACAAAGAACCAGGACCCAATAAAAAAATCCGTACTCAGGGAAACAAAAGGCAAGGTATTTGGTTTCTCTAACAACTAAATTGCAAGAAAAAAAGGGGGAAAGAAATTTGAAGGAAGAACCTATAGATTATGAAGAACTTAAGAGACATTCCAACCCACTGTGCTGTGTGGGCCTTATTTAGATTTTTTTTAAAATAACTATTTTAAAACATTTATTACACATATGAGATGACCGGAAATTTGAATACTGATGGAATAATTGTGATTAAGGAATTTTTGTTAATTTTTTAATGTCTAAAAAAAAGTCCTTATCCTTTAAAGATATATACTGAAATACTTACAGATTAAATGATGCTTCCAAATAATTTGGGGGGGTCAGATTGGGGTGCAGGAGGCAGATGTAACCATCAGTTAGTGTTAGATGAGACTGGTGAGAACATACCCATTTATCATGCCATTCTCTCTACTTTTACACATGTTCAATATTCTCCATAATAAAAGGTTTTTTAAATGACGGGGATTTTGGAGTCTTCTGGACCTAGGTTTTAGCCCTGCTATACCACTGTGTGACCCTCAACAGGTGTCTCTCCCTCTCTGTGCCTCCTTTACTGAAGCCTCAAAAGGCTCTGTGAGTTCTAGGAGAGGATCTTGGGACACTCTCTCCCCAGGGCCTGGTCCAGGGCAGGAGTTTGCTATGTGAAAGTTCTATTTATAGTTTCAGAGGGAGCTGAAGACCAGGGCAGGGGTAGGGGTGGTGGGGTGGGCGGGGATCTGAGGGAAACACAACTTCATAAACCTTGACAAGCTCAAGATCAAGACTGGGAAGCCCATAGAGTAGGGGAAATGGGCAAGGCAGACTCTCAGAGTTGTGGGGCCTTTGGGAAATACGTGGTCCAACTGAGGCCCAAGGGTGGGGATTTGCCCAAAGTCACCCTGCAATTAATCCTTCCACTAGCACTTTGATTCAGATCTCCTGCCTCCTGCCCTGGAATATCCAAAAGTGAGGTGCAAAGTGCCCAGTGACTACAGAGATAAACATTCTGTGGCCCCAGGTTCCAGGGCATTTGGCAGCTTTGGGGTTTGAATGCAGGCCTATAGATTCTGGAGGCTACGCTGGTAACCACCACACAGCTCAGTCTGTTCATATTCCCCCCTCTCCTCAACTGACCCCCCTCCCCTGTTGTCTCCCACTGTGTCTGAGTTATTCTGCAGCCAGGGAAGGGACATTGGGAAGCTGAGCCCCTACGATCACTGAGGAAGAGGTCTTCATAGAGAAGACAGAACTTGCACTGGCCTGCTTAAGTGGGAAAGGGCACTGCTGTGTCCCTGGAAGGTCTCCGAGAGATGGCCAGTCTCTGCTCTCAGGCTATTGTCTGGAGGGGGATTTCCAAAAGTCATGCCCAGCTCCAATGGCGCAGAAACACCGGGGGCTGAAATCATGGGATTTCTGCACTTAGAAAGGACTGGAGGTCTTCGGCCTTGGGGGACCCTGTAGGAAGTGGCCCCTCTGGCCCTGGGGCATGAAGCTCCTCATAACTGGCATCTCCAAGGCCTCTCAGTCCCACTGAGACTCACTCTTGGGTATAGGGATAAGAAGTTGTGTTGGGTACAAGCGGCCACCTTGGCGACATGTCACAGCCAGCCCTGAGTTGGTTTTTGAACCTACACATTGGGAACTGGGTCCCGGAGAGGGACAAAGGTGACCTGAGATCACACAGCAGGTCAGGCAGGTTCATGGTTCCTCCCACCCGTGCCTCCTCCAAATGGCCCATGTCCCTCTCCATATCCCCTCGCCCGCAGCACCTTCCTGGGACTACAATGGTGCAGGGGTCGTTTCAAATGGAGACTTGACCCAAGGGCCAGCCGGGATGCAGGGCCCAGCAGCATTACTGCAGGGACATCCCTCACTGTAGAAATGCCCTCCCCCAGCATGGTGACATGGTAGTACTGCGTGTGTTTGGGGGGGGGGGTACAAAATTGAGCCCCTTTTTCACTCCTCTCACCCTCACAGATGTACCAAAAGCTGGCATTATCACCCATGTTTTACAGTAGGGAGCCCTGGCAGGGTAGCTCAGCTGGTTAGAGTATTGCCCTGATACACCAAGGTTGCCGGTTCGATCCCCAGTCAGGGCACATACAAGAATCAACCAATGAATGTATCAATAAGTAGAAGAACAAGTTGATGTTTCTCTCTCTCCCTCTCCCTCAAATCAATTTAAAAAAACAATAAAACATGTTTTACAGAAGGGGAAACTGAGACTCAACAAGTGGCTAAGGGTTGCAGAACTCGAGAGCCGGAAGGGGCGGCAGAGAACACGCCTGCTCTGGGCCCCTCTCCCACAGGGGCCGGGAGCCTCCTCTCTGCCAGCCAGGGCGGGCTTGCTTGCCACCGGGGATGGCAGGCACGCTTCCTTACAGCTGGCAAGGACTAACCAGAGCTATGTGTTCCGAGGCCAGGCGGGCAAGCCCAGCACAGTCTTATGCTGCTGGACACGCAACAGGGACCCAGCCACACTATCTGACAGAGGACAGGAACAATGGCCCACTAGCACCGTACTTTACAGTTTACAACGGGCCTTCACATTCCATTGCCTCACCTGATCCAGAGAGGCAGGGGTTAATGATTACCCTGGCGATGGGGAAACTGAGGCCCCAAGCCCAGCCTGAATGAGGAACCAGGCACCCTGCACGTGGCACAGACCTCACGTTGCTCTGGAAGATTTGAGCCCCAGCCTGTCCTGACCCCACTGCACTGGCACAGCACCGAGACCAGGGAAGGACAGCAGGGCACAGGGCACCCTGAGTAGCAGCAGCCCTGACCCTAATACTCACCCTCAGCCATGGTCAGGTGGTGGCAGTGTCTCCTCAGACTGGTGGCGGGATCCTCAACTGTGCACCACTGGCAGCCCGCACTGTGGAGGAAGCTGAGCGCGAGGAACTTATAGCCACTTTGGGGCGGGCCGGGGGTGGGGCCAAAAGGGAAGGCGGGGACCTGGTGTGACCGCTATTGCCAGTCTGGGTCCACGTTCTGGGCTGGCCAGCTAGGGCAGGAGCCCCGAGGAGGGAGGGAGGGAATGGTAGCCAGGCAAGGGCTCCCCCTGGGGGAGCAGACTGCGTGCAAGGGGACAGCAAGGACAGGGGCACACAATTAAATCAGGACACAGGCACACCTGGACCCACAGTGTCAGAGCTGGGGTAACAGACACCCGGACAGAAAAATACACACATACAGCTATACATACACGTGGAGCGGACACAGACACAGACACTCCCACACATACAGCAGACAAACCTGGACATAGAGACATGGACGCAAAATCAGATTAAAACCGGAGACCTGCCAGGACATAGACACGGGCAGACACACAGGTGCCCACCAAGAGCCACACACAAATATGCAGGTGTCCAGACGCACCCAGCTCACAGACACACACAGACAGACCTCACAGACACCAAAGTGCCATCAGATGTGGACACAAAATCAGGCTGAGGCACCTACAGACAGGCAAAAATGCAGATACTCGGAGATGGGCACACATGCGGACACAGACTCATGTAAAGATGCACACACAGACTTGTGTACTGGGGTCCCTGAATTTTGGAGCAAAAATGCCAAGTGGCCCTGAGGGACAACAAAGGTCCAGGTGACCAGGGGCGCCTTGCCCCACTCTGGGGCCTCAGTTTTCCCATCTGTTCAGGGGGACTGGGAAACCCTGCCTTGTCTTACCTCATTGCTCAAGTAAAGGTTCAAAACTCCAATTTACTGAGGGGAAAACTGAGGCCCAGAGAGGGTGGTCATGGGCTCAAGCTTCCCCTACAGTACAGGCAAGGGAAGTGCGTGCAATGGTTAGAGCAGGCAGTATCTGAGGTCATTCTTGGCTGTGTGACCCTGGGCAAGTTACTAGAGCTCTCTGAGTCTCAGTTTCCTCCTCTATAAAATGGGTATAATAAGAGTCCCCACCTCCGGGGGTTAGAGACAATGTCTATTCAGTGCTGAGCACATGGTAGGTGCTCAATAAATGGTTCCCAAAACATTTTTATGTGGAAGTTAAGATCAGTACTCCCCTTCCCCCACAAAAAAATGAGGTTCCTATGTGTAGGTGAAGCAGGTGGCAAACAATGTAGAATATTGGGGGGTGCTCAGAACCTTTACTTTGGTAGGAATGCCTCCCAAATAAGTCTTGTACCCAGGGTCACTGATGCAAGGACCTCACCATTAGAGAGATCAGTCCTTCACTGTCTTTCTTTTTTAATATGTTTTTTATTGACTTTAGAGAGAGAGGAAGGGAGAGAGAGAGAAAAAGAAACATCAATCAGCTGTCTCCTGCATCCCCCTTCTGGGGGTCAAGCCCACAACCCAGGCATGTGCCCTCACTGGGAATTGAATTGGCAACCTCTGAATGCATGGGCTCAGTGCATTGAAAGACGCTCAACCAACTAAGTCACACTGGCCAGGGCAGTCCTTCACTTTTGTAAGAATTTCCAGGCCTTGAGGTAGAGACAGGTGAATTTTTAGAACTTTTGAATATCCCATTACCAGCCAGATATCCCATTTAAATCTCATAACATGATTTTTTGTCATTTGTAAAATGAGGAAGCTGGGGCTCAGAGAGGTAAAGTGACTGGCCCAGGGTCACACAGTCAGGAAGTGGGGCACAGAGTCTGACCTTGGTTCAAAAGCCTGCTCTGACTCTTTCATGGTTCAGGGGTCAGTCCTATATCCTGCCCCGCCCCTCCCCACCCCATGCTTCTGATCTGTGGTGTCTGGTGGACAGCGGACATTCAATGA